AGCATTGATTTACTCTGCAGTGGCTACTGAACTTACAACAAGGCAAAAGTGCTGCTTATTGACACATGGCTGACTCAGTCAATGTAAATAAAGTAGCCTTTTGATTCTTTGTTAAGAAATGATTTGGGAGCTAGGACAAACTTGCTGAATATGACAAATTTTCCAACTGGAAAATAGGTGCCAGTTTTAACGCACTTTTAGTGCATTTATTTGTAGCATATTTCATTCGTGTTCAGCAGGGGAGGATATTCCTGACCATAGTAAGGTTACCAGCAGTGAAGTTACATCAAGTAATGGACCAAATTTTGAGCTTGGCGTTGTTCTATTTTCATCACAATTATAATCCAATAGATTTTAGAGAACTGTGTGGGTCTTCTGCCTGGGTGCAGTACATATAGAAACTGCTTCATAAAAACTGCGAGGGGATAAAATTTAAACTTCTTAACTAAAATGTTGTTGCTGCAGGAAGTTTCAATACTATATATTTTAACAAAAGTGGGGGAGGAAAAGCAACATTCAAAGCTTAACTGGTTTGAAAATGACTGGGAATTCATCTTCCCCTTTTAGACATCTCAGAAAGAGAATGATGATACATTTCGATGGTGGTTTTATCAAAATGTGCTACTTTAATCTCACTTACAAATTCCACGTTACTGGACCGGAGTAGGTGTCGGATTTTGAAGACAAGCAGAGATGCTGAGCATCATGTTATTGGAAAATGTTTGTGAAACTTTTTATCTTCTGATTGACTGTTTTAGTTTTTTATTAGCAACAACGCCTCCACAGTGTTAAAAGGCTACATTGTTACAGCCTGATATCAGTTACTGACTATTGTGCGTGTAACAAGACACATTTATTAATCGGAATCATTGCTATTTAAACAATTGGAATGCATTGTGTTCAATTAAATGCTAAACTATTGAAGCTAGGACACAGGATTACATGCTAAGTAGTTGAACTTTCATGTGCAGTAAGAAAACCTACATTTCGCAGGTCAGATGTAGTTCTGTCATATACAGCTGTGAATGGTGGCGGACAATTAAACAATTTAAGCAGGAGGAGGCTTCAATTTTAAGGATGGCAGAATCTAACACTCCAGTGCCAAAGACAAGGTTTGAATTGTATGGAAAGGCTGGATAGACTGGGACTATTTTCCCTGGAGCATAGGAGACTGCAGGATGACCTTATGGATGTTTATAAAATCATGAAGGGCATAGATAAAGTGAATAGCCAAAGTCATTTCCCCAGGGTAGGGGAGTCCAGAACTAGAGAGCATAGGTTTAAGGTGAGAGGGGAAAGATTTACAAGGAACTTGAGTGGCAGCTTTTTCACAGAGAAAGTGGTGCATTTATGGAATGAGCTGCCAGAGGAAGTGATAGAGGCGGGTACAATTACAACATTTAAAAGACATTTGAATAGGTACATGGAGTGGAGAGATTTAGAGGGATATGGGCCAAATGCAGGCAAATGGGATTAGTTCAGTTTAGGAAGCCTGGTTGGCATCGATGAGTTGGGCGGAAGGGTCTGTTTCCATGCTGTATGACTCTATGACTTTATGACTCCATAATCAGCTTCAGACAGAAGAGCCATATGGCTGGAAGCTGACACTTGAGCTGCTATGTTTCCTTTCACTGGCAAAGTGACATTACAGTGGAAATATTTTCTAATGCCCCCAGTGCCTTTGTTCACCATTTTGTTAGGCTTCCTACTGCCCAGTTCAATGTCAAAGGTCTGGTAAAATAGTGGCCAACATTCTAGGGTATTAAGTTCACAGAGAGGATGTAGATGAAATTTACTGCACTACGACTTGTGATGTCAGATGACTGAAGAAGAGTTACCCTCCATGTAAAACAGAAAATAATTGGAGTTGTTCAAAAAGATGGAGGGTTTGGATACAGCAAATAAAGATGTATTGATTTCACTTTTTCTGAAGAAGGGTCTAGGCCCAAAGCGTCAGCTTTCCTGCTCCTCTGATGCTGCTTGGCCTGCTGTGTTCATCCAGCTCTACACCTTGTTATCTTGATTTCACTGGCAATGTGATTGACTATCAGAGGACACCGACTTATGACTTTCAAATTGGATTTGGATAAATATGTTAAGGGCTGTAGGGAAAGAGCAGGTTAGTGGGACTAATTAGTTAGCTTTTCCAAAGAGGTAGCATGGGCAGGAATGGCCTTCATTTGTCTGTGTCATTTTATAATTCAATGAAGGATAGGATCCCTTTAGTTAGCAACCTAGTTTTGCAAAACTTTGGCATTCTTTACATACTTCTGCTTTCCCTTCCACTTAAAAGCAATTAACATTTGAACCTGAGATTGAAAGCATCTAACCACAACAATGACAATAACTTGCCCCTTGCATTGTAAAGTGTTCAAAGGTACTTCACAGGAACATTGTCAAATATAAAATTTAAAACTGAGCTACATGAAAAGATTTTAGGTCAAGTAGGTCTAGTTTTAAACAACTTAGAGGCGGAGAAAGATGTAGAGGCAGACAAATTTTGTAGCTTTATGATTCATTTATGCATTTTTTTTAATTTTAAAAGTAAACAAACATCTGGTGCTTGAATCCAAATCCAGAAAGGAATGATGTAAGCTGAATTTACACCCAAAACTGTTCTGATAAATTCTATAACAGAGGCAAACTTTAAAGAAGCAAAACTCATTTTTTTGGTGGTAGGCGGGGGAGGCTTTTCAAATTGACTCTATTTCCAACAAGAAAGTTGGAAAGTTTATTGAGAGAAAATGGTGGCACAGTGGCTCGGTGGTTAGCGCTGCTGCCTCAATTCCACCCTTGGTCGACTGGCCGTGTGGAGTTTGCACATTCTCCCTATGTCTGCATGAGTTTCTACTGGGTGCTCCGGTTTCCTCCCACAGTCCAAAGATGTGCAGGTTAGGTGATTTGGCCATACTAAATTGCCTGTAGTGTTCAGGGATGTGCAGGTTAGGTACATTAGCCACAGGAAATGAAGGGTTACAGGGGGATGGGGATGGGGATGGGGATGGGGATGGGTCTGGGTGGGATACTCTTTGGAGGGTCAAGTGTAGACTTGTTGGGCTGAATGGCCTGTTTTCACACACTGGGGATTCTATGATTCTAAATACTCCACAAGAATAACAACTCCAACTTTAGTGACTGATATGAAGCTTCATAATTGATTTTTCAGATTTCCTTCTAAATTATTGCACAAAAGAATGATTTCTTTTTGCTTGCAATGTCTCATCAATGGCCACCAACTCTGCAATTATTCTGAGAATTTCACTTTTCCAGTTAACATCAGAGCTATGTGCGAACATTGATGTCAGAAAATGTGAAACAGTTTAAAATTACAATGCCCATGGGTGGTGTTGTAGAAATCAATCTGCCCTCGAGTACTGTAATGCAAATGTGACTGCACTGTGGCTGTGAGGAGAGGCTGGTGCTAATCTCAGTGGTTTTCATATTGGGAGCCATAGCGTTTGGCAGTAGACAGAAAAGTACCTTGGAACACAATGACTCTTAGGAAAAAGGGTGTTGCAGTCAAATGGTTATGCTGCCATGTTAGTAGCCTGGAGTTCAACTGCTACCACAATATGTTATAAGATTGAATGCAATAAATGTATCATTTTGCAAATCATCATCTCAAACCTGTAACAGCTCCATTAATGTCCTTCTCCAGAGGGAACTTGGCAGCCCACATGGTACGATCTATCAAATGGCTACCACGCTATCTGCCACAGCTCCACGCTCACAGATAAGTGATATGGTCATATGGGTGACAATGGGTGTCACCTCATTTCCATCCTTCACAAAGAAAAATTGTTTAAAGGGTTGTTTATCCATGGTTTTCAAAGAGCCAGGGTGGGGTGGTGGGATCTGTGTGGGAACATGGGGGTCAAGATCCAGTAAGAGTGAGACTTAAAATGCATTCCCTCAGGGTCATCTTGGAATCCAATGCCTTCTTGACAATTTTGTATTTTCAAAAGGGCAGAGAGTGGATAGCACTGGAATAAAGGTTACCACCAATGAATAGCCCTTTAAGCTTATTAAAGCACAAATTGGGCACGCTCTCAACCAATAGGGAGGCTGTCCTGGGGAAGTTCTGTCACCCTCCTCCCAGTGAACTGTGAACTGGGAAAAAAATCATCCAGCTGTGTCATGGAGTCTCGGACTCAGTTCCAGGGCTTTCCTGACAGAGTGTCTGCTCCATGATTGCCATTATGGCCTCAGAAATCTCATTGTGGTCTGCACTTTTGGAATCCCTTGCATTAAGGAGCTCTTTAAGGGGCCTGTCAGCTCACTATTGGAATTTTAATATCTCCTTTTGATGAACCCGACAAATGAGGTGCATGAGGGTGCGCAGTTGGCAGTCTTGTGGAGCGGCCAGCAGGAGCTTTCTTTGCATCGACTTCTAACTGATCACCCCTGGAACTCCTTCTGCTGTTTCCAGCACTGCTCCATAATCTCATCTGCATGTCTCCCCTTGCATTGCCATGAGCCCTGCCTGAACTTCAGCAAAGTGATGGCAGCATCAATCAAGGTTAGATCTGTCTTTGTCATTCAGTCACCAACTTAGCTCCTGGCCAATCAGGCCATTTGCATTTAAACGTTGTGTCACAAAAGCCAAAGAAGTTTGACAGAGGATCGTGTTTTGGAATTCATCTGATCTCAGGTTTCTGACCCTGCATTGAAAACCTGCCTTTCAATCTTTCTCTCCCGTCGTGAAACAACAAACTTCTCAAAATTTGTTTGGACATACAACAGGTGTTAACATTGAAATAATGCTGTGTCATGATATATCACTTGCAAAATGTTACCACAATTCTTTTCCACATATTTTAAATATTACAGTGAGCTCATTTATTCAGTTTATACACTGACATTTTTACTTTGCTTGCTGCCTTAAATTTTAACCAACAAATATATTTAATTAATTCAGTGGGACAAAACTACACATCAGTATCGTGTCCTTAGATTGATCTAATTTGTTTAAAATAATGCAAACATGGGTCATGCAATGAGAATGAAAGTTTTGTTTATTAAATACCAGCTTAATGTGCATCAAAATCAAAACAATTTAATTTATATATAAATAGCAAGGTTTTAATTCAATGTAATCACTTTAAAAAATCCCAAATTATCAGAATTCAGTCAAGACTGCAAAGAAGTCATTTCTGTTCCATAGGGAATTTTTGATCTCAATTTTGTGAAGTGGAAGTAAAAATTACAAAGGAAGGAATAACTTTGTCAAAACTGTCCAGGTTTTATTGAGCATAAATATCTTCACAATTGCATAAAATATGGAAGATTAGTAAACCAAAATGCACATTAAAACACAGGGTTGCACTTTCAATTTCAAAAAGCTTAACGGTAAACAGTGTTAGAAAACCAAGAGAACTCACAGAACATTTAATGATCATTTTCCTTGAAATTAGGAGTTGACATTTTATATGCTGACGGTTAAGCTTTTTACATCAAATTCCCCTGTCAGCACTTTAAGAGAGTCACTAAACTGTCAAAAACGGAAGGGTTAGTAACTTCAGCAAAATAGCTGACAAAAACAAAAATGAGTTTCAAATGTTGAGTATCTCCATGCGAATATTCATGCAGCCCAGTTTTAAGACACTCATATCTTGGAAAAATTTGATACCAATAACTTGGCAAATATGTTGTTAGGAAGAACAGCTTCAGGCAAGAAGTCCAGGACCAGAATTACATCTGAAAAGTGGATGCTGAAGACTTAAAAACAGAAAATGCTGGAAAAAAATAACTCAGCCGATTAGTGCTCGTTATTAGAACTGGAAGAAAGGTCATATCCTCAAAATGTTAACTCTGTTTTTCTCTCTCGACATAGATGCTTTCTTACCATCTGTGTTTTTTTCCAGCACTTGCTGTTTTTATACCACAGTCACCTCAATGCTCCAACAATTGCATCTTAAATTATGTTTAATAACCATATGCACAAACTAAAATAGATGATAATTCTGTAAATATCTTTATTAGTACTGTAAATCTGATCAGTTTAGGAACAACTGGAGATTCAAGAAGTGGTGATCATAGTCTATTAACTTTTTTTTTGTTAATATTGAGCTCCACATTTCTAGATGTGAATACCAATACTGGCTCCTTCTGAAATATAGTTTGGAGGTATAGTTTGGGGATTTAATAGTTACCAAGGGGTTACATTTGGTTTTTAATTCTCAAACTTTTCCTGGGTAACTATCAACTTAAAGGAAGCTGACCCCTCTGAACTCTTGGAAACTGAGGGCTATTTCAGAATTTTCAAGATTCAGGGGATCTGCCCATGTCTTCAATTGTCTGGGCAGTTCCCAGAGTGTCTGCTGTGTCTAGGATTTTGCAGGTTATCAATGTGTAACTCCAGTCTCCTCTGATTCTCTGGCTGTTGGAACATCCAGGCCACTTCCTTTTTAATGATGTGCAATGAATTGGTATCACAGAAGTTTGCAAACATTTGATTCTCTTGCATAAAGGGCAGGTAGAAGAAATCAGCACAGATTTGAGATTCCTGCAATTAAAACTGATTTGAATTTGAATGTGTTGTTTCTTAGTTATCACTGACCTCCGCAAAAGGTCTTCCCATTTCTGAGTTTATTTTGCAATATAGTTGTTAGCTCCAATTCTGTCCCGTCCCTGCACCTATTGAATCCACCAGTGATCTAGAAAATGAGCAAAATCTGGTCTCTGTTAACCATAAGATCTTGAACTAAAGGGTTAAAATTAGCAGTGTACGGTCAGCAGCTTTATTATCAATGCATGGCTTGCCTGTTTAATTGACTTGCTTGGTGGATATGAACATAAAGCTGGCTTGTGATTGTATTAGGTAGTGTTGGTTTCAACATGGGGGAACCTTAACCCAACTGATGTGGTCAGATCAGCTGGTTGTTCTACATATCTCCTGAATTTACTTAACATTGACATCTTAGGAGATTGCGAATGGGGGTGTTAATATGGTCACGTCAGTTTTTCTGCTAGGTGTGTTAGCTTTAAACTAACCCTCCATCATGTGTGGCCTGCTAACCAACCAGGAGCCCATTAAATTCTAGCTCCATTTAAACAGACAAACTGCACAAAGCTCAATGCTGTGACTATTACTAACAGAATTACTGAAGATAAGAATGTGATACTGGAACCGGGCAGTTTGACAGCAGGGAAGATCCAGGAGTGTGATGGATCCACCAGAATGTGGGTACGAGGGGATCCAGTGTTTTAGCTATTTCCATGGCGTTTGTCCTTGCCAAAACTTCTTGTGAATAATGAAGAAGGTGTACATCGGGAGTGTAGATGATTGAGGTTCCACTGTTTGTTTTAAATAACATCAACAAGTTTATCAAACAAATTGCACAACAAAGTTCTTGTCACGTTTGATCCCAAGTATTTTGACGTGACTTCCCATAGTTAGCAAATGTTCCTACATAAGTTGAATAAACGACCATTGGAGTGTTGCTATTTAAATTCTCATTGCTCTTCACACCTGCAATCATCATAATAATAATGAGAAAATTAGTAACATTCACTGTCATTACTTGTATTCACAGTCTTCATCCCCCAGGTCACAATCCAGAAATAAATTATTTTTCTGTTGGCTCTTCTAGAGTAATTGTATTTAGCAAATTAGGAAATTTAGGAATATGACTGAGTCCTCTTCCTTTGAACTGATCTTAACCATATATTTTCACTCAAATTGTCAACCTCATCTCCCTCCAGAAATATAATAATTGTTTCTTGTCTCTGGTACTCTTTGATACTACTTTTTTCAATGATAAATTATTGCACATCTCCAGTCGCATTTCTCAATCCTGGATGAATTTCCCACATGAACTGAATTGCACCTACAGCAATGGCTGAAATGTACAATAGTGGTTCAGCTGACAGCATTCTTATCCAGTTTCCTTTCCTACGATGACCCTGCTATTGTACCAAAACAGTTGTTTATAGTCACAGTTTATATTCCACGTAGCCGTGAGAACAGTAAATTTTCTTCTTTATCCTTCTTGTATTGACATGTTTGATCATATCACTTTCTTCAAAACTCCCACCCAAATGCTGTCACTTGGTTCCATTTTTATGTATTTAGTAATATCCAGAGTAAAATTGGCAATGGTTTCACTTCCTGCTCCTGCATGGTTACATTTGGTGCCTGCTAGGGGTCTACTCTTGGCCACCACTTAGTTTTTTATTCGACATTTTGCCCTTCAGTAACATAATCTGAAAGCACAGCCTTCATTTTCACATGTATATGATACCCAGCTCTACCTTGAGAGAAGTGGTGATGAGATAGAGCTGGGAGTTGTCAGCCTAGTACACTGATGCAATTTGCTAACTCATGAGACTTGTTGTTCACTTGCAAACAGCTGTTCTCTGGAAACAAAAGGAATATGTTTAAGTCTTGTACCATTCTTGAATTGACGAATGGATGATTTCCTCCTACAGTGGTCCCCAACATCACAGATACCTCTCTTCAGCCAATTTGATTCACTCCACGTGATATCATGATATGGTTGGAGGCACTGGATCCAGCAGAGGCTATGGGCCCTGACAACATTCTGGCAATTGTACTGAAGACTTGTGTTCCAGAACTTGCTACTCCCCTCACCAAGCTCTTTCAGTACAGTTGCAACACTGGCATCTACCTGACAATGTGGAAAGTTGCCCAAGTATGTCCTGTATATAAAAAGCAGGACAAATCTAACCTGACCAATTATTGTCCCCTCAGTCTACTCTCAATCACAAGTAGAGTGATGGAAGATGTCAACAACACTGTTATCAAGCAGCACCTGCTCAGCAATAACCTGCTCAGTGACGCCCAGTTTGGGCTCTGCCAGGGTCACTCAGCTCCTGACCTCCCCACAGCCTTGGTTCAAACATGGACAAGAGAGCTGAATTCGAGAGGTGAGGTGAGAGTGACAGCCCTTGACATTAAGGCCGCATTTGACCGAGTGTGGCATCAAGGAACCCGAGCAAAACTAGAATCAATGGAAATTGGGGGCAAACTTTCTGGTGGTTGGGGCCATATCTGACACATAGCAAGATGATCCTCGTTGCTGGAGGTCAGTCATCTCAGTTCCAGGCCATCTCTGCAGGAGTTCCTCCGGATAGTGTCCTTGGCACAAGCATCTTTAGTTGCTTCGTCAATGACCATCCTTCCATCTTAAGGTCAGAAATGAGTAGTTTCACTGATGATTGCACAATGTTCAGCACCATTCACAACTCTTCAGATGCTGAAGCAGTCCATGTCCAAATGCAGCAAGATCTGGACAATATTCAGGTTTGGGCTGAAAAGTGCCAAGTGACAGTCGCGCCACACAAATGCCAGGCAATGATCATCTCCAACAAAGAATCTAACCATCCAGCCTTAACATTCTTTGATGTTGCCAACATCCTAGGGGGTTACCATTGACCAGAAATTCAATTTGCTGCATAAGCACACTGGCTACAAGAGCAGGTTGGAAGCTAGGAAATCTGCAGCGATTAATTCACCTCCTGACTCCCCAAAGCCTGTCAATCATTTACAAGGCACAAGTCAGAGGTGTGATGGAATACTCCCTGCTTGTGTGGATGGGTGCAACTCCAACAACACTCAAGAAGCTTGATGCCATCTGGGCCAAAGCAGACCATTTGACTGGCACCACAACCATAAGCACCCACTCCCTCCACCACCAATGCTCAGTAGCAGCAGTGTGTACTATCTACAGGATGCACTGCAGAAATTCATCAATGATCCTCAGACAGCACCTTACAAACCCACAACCATGTCCATCTAGAAGGACAAGGGCAACAGATGCATGAGAACACCACTATCTTCAAGTTCACCTCCAAGCCACTCACCATCCTGACTTGATGTGAAAGTGCTGGTGTTGGACTGGAGTGGACAAAGTCAGAAGTCGCATGACACCAGGTTATAGTGCAACAGGTTTATTTGAAATCTCTCAAGCCTTTGCGGTGCTGCTCCTTCGTCAGGTGCAGTCTACTTCACCGGAGTTCACCTGACAAAGGAGCTGTGCTCCAAAAGCTTGTTATTTCAAATAGACCTGTTGGAATATAACCTGGTGTCGTGTGTCTTCTGACTTCATCCTGATTTGAAGATTATATCATCATTCTTTCACTGCTGCTGTGTTAAAAATCCTGGAATTTCCTCCCTCAGGGCATTGTGGATCAATCTTCAGCATGTAAACTGCAATGGTTCAAGAAGACAGCCCACCATCACCTTCTCAAGGACAACTAGGGTTGGGCAATAAATGCTGGCCCAGCCAACAACACCGACAAACAAACCCAGGAGCTTACAGTTCTTTGTTGCTTTCTCCATGGCAATGCCTCGGGCAATCAAAGTTGACATGCCAAACAAACTACCAGCACTCTTGCCACTGCAGTATAAATTGTGAAATTAGAAACCTGGTATTCTTGCATTTGTCCTGATCAGTGTAGGCAGAAAAAAATTGACAACACATTCCTCTTTTTCGTAAAATTAAAGTTCTGCACTACCAAGAGACTGACTTTTAAAATAAAACTTCCTACTGACAATGTGACTAAATAAATTTCATTAAAAGAAAATTGGTATATCAAAGTGTACCTTCAGGCAGACAAAAATCTCACTTACCAGCTTCCATACTTTCTTGTTTCTTTCTCTTTATGAAATATATAACTACTACGCAGATTACACAAATTCCAAGCACAGAGACACCAATCGCAATGCCTAAAGTGGGGAGGAGGGAACAAAGTACAAATTCAATTTGAAGAAAACTGGTAAAGAACATAAAACCTCTCAGTCATTTAGGGGCATAGTTTATTACTCAGATTGAAACTCCAACAACACTTTTCCAGCAATCAATACTAACTTTACATTTGTTTCAAGTTTCAGGAGGTCCCGGAAAAAACATCCAAGGAACAAAGTGGGACAGTTATTAATAGCGTTACAGCAACAGCACGGAAATAATGAGCAACAATGTTTGAGTAAATTCTTCAACACTTTCAAAGAGAGCAAAGACCTTTCCTCTGTTTAAAAAAAAGTACGTGACTGTTAAAAAATACATTTATTGCAGCAACAAAATGCTAAAACAAACACAAAATATTAAATCATTTCATTCTGTAATACCCAACTGTGCCCATGAATACAATCTTGGACTCCAACCACACTGTTTAAATTTGGCTCATGTGAATCTGTTTTGCTCTGAGCAAAATACAGAACCAAGGGTCTTTCAACTGTTTTGTGACCAAAGTATTAATGTTGGGATTATCTTCTGCAATATTAGAAGGCTGCTGTCACATTCACTGAGAATAGCAATTTTAATTGTCAACGATACCAGCAAAGGACACAATCTAAAACCTGTTTTGGCTCTTCGTTAAGAAGTTTAGGATGTTCATAATGTTTTGATTTAGAACAGTTATTGACTCGTGCTCATTCAAAACTAGGTCAGGAAGCATTTCTCCAAATGTACAATGGCTTTCCTGAGTAGGACAGTGGATCTAAATTTCAAGGAAGTGGTGCTGGTCAAAGGGTAGGTCTTAGTGGAGGCAGTAGATGGACTGACTGCATGGCCTTGCTCATCTATATGTAGCTTTATGATTTTCAGTTATTCTACAGGATACAAAGTTCGGGACCAAACTATGACAATTAAGTATTTGCATACGCCAGGATACACAAGGCATGAATAATTGCATTTCCTCTCAGTCTCACCTGGTGGAGAAAACAACCAAAGACATAGGATGTCTATTCCCTTCTCCATCAATGCCCAACCCTCAGATATATTACACAATGAAGTAATTTTGACTTTGTGTGATACTATATTATGATAAGAAGCCTGCAGTTTGTTTTGCTTCTCTCCTAATGATTATTTTCAAATCTACGTATAGTTTGGAAAGGTGCAAAATGGACTGAGGACATGCTATTGCCAATTTCATACTGTACACTATCAGAATTACTCTATAACAAAAGAAGCCCAAAGAACTGCAGATGCTGAAAATCAGAAATAAGAATTGAAATTCATGGAAAAACTCAGTGGGTCCAGCAGCATCTGTGGAGAGAAATCAGAGTTAACATTTTTGTCCAATGTCCCTTTTTTAGAATTATTCTGGCTGTCATTATGCCCTGAGTAAGTACAATCTCTGCATTTGTGCGCAAATTGTAGTACTGATTTTACCAGACAGAAGCTGCAGGTAAACATTTGTAATTCTGATCCAACTCATACGAATAAAATGGTCACTTTCTTTCTGCTGCTGTTTTTGTTAGACAGATAAACCTGAATTTTGCCCGTGTAAATTTTGGACTTGGGAGAATTCTATTAGACAAAGAATCCAACAGATGGAGTTTCTAAACAAAAGCAGAAATTGCTGAACAAGATGTAGCAGCATCTGTAGAGAGAAAGCAGAGTTAACGTTTTGGGTCCGGTGACCCTTCTGCTTTCTCTCCACAGATGTTGTCAGACTGGCTGAATTTTTCTAGCAAACTGCTTTTGTTCCAGACTTCCAGCATCTGCAGTTTTTTTTTTGTTCAGATTGAATTCCTCATAATATCAATTCAAAATGTGTTTAGTCTTTAAACATATTGTTGCTAAATTCTTAGTAATTTGCTTCTTAAGCAGAGCCACTTATGTTGAACCATTGAGATTCTGCTGAATTCTTATTGTAGTCATTCTGCTATTTCCTACAAACTTTCCTTCTGCAGCAAATTACTAATGAGTTTACTTAATTTAAACCTCTTTTTCTCCCTGATGTATTGATAATCACGAAAAAGTTTATATGAAAAGAAAGTGGAAATTCATTCAGATTTCTGAGGAAGTTCTTTAATTAAGTATAATTTTTTAAAAAGTGTTTTTATCCATTTGATGTAGACAGTTGCGATCCTACCAAAGAATGGATGATTATGGATTTAAGTGGTGACAGATTAAAAACGCTGCCAGTTGTAGCAATGTTGCAAGAGCATTATTGAAGAACTCCTCTGTTTCTTGCCACTTCTAGTAAAATTGCAATCTCACAGTGGTCTAATTTTATTTGCAATTCGAAACATTTAAGATTTCCACAATGCTGTTATGATTTCTCTGCATTTGGCCAACTGCAGTAATTGTTGCTTCCTGGAGAGATGCAGGAGCAGTCTCATGCTCTTTTACCTAATCTTTTCAAAATTTGCACAGTATAATTGCTTATTGATAATTCTTTTTCGCTAGTAAAATGCATTCTCCTGTCCGTGGTCCTGCACTGTTTCTGTCTTGTGAAACAAAATCTTTAAAATAGCTTATCATTCATTATTGGTATAGGAATACCCAGGTGAATGCAAATAAGCTTTTCATGAATATGAAAATAATGGAAAATAATTGCTAAAGACAATAGTGATTATTCACGGCTATATTGTCCAGGTAAGCACTAAGCCATATGCAATTTTAAAAAGTTAGATTTATAGCTTGCCATTGTTGCAGAATTCCTTTGCAATACTTCATCAGAATTGTTTCAGTAAAAATTTGTCATGTTATTCTAAGATTTACAAAGTAAACAAGACTAGAAAGAAGCTTAAATTCATCTTTGCATTAGATGAAATCTACGGTCAAAATTTGTGGTTAGAAGTTATTAGGGTCCGACAACTGTTTTCTCAGCTAGACCTTACTTGATATTTTCCACTGCTTTTAACAAAACTGGCAGGATTAAGTGGTTTATATTATAATGACAAAGATGCAGAATTTAACATTTGTATTCAACCGTAAATTTTATGTATGCAAAATGTATTGTATGCCTCTACACTTTTAAAGATACATAGGTACCTATAACGCCACACTTATAAACCTGGGAATTCAAGGAGGGAAAAGAAAATATGCCAAATCTTAGTTTAGTTTTGTAACTGTCACAGTAGCATCCATTACCTGACAAGCTAAATTGGAGGCAAAATACTGCAGATATTGAAAATCTGAGACAAACACAGAGACTGCTGGAAAAACTCAGCCGGTCTGACAGCATCTATGACATAAGAAATCATATTAAAGTTTTGAGTCTGGTATGAATCTTCTTCAGAATGAAAAAAAAAGAGTCAGACCGGACTCAAGATATTAACTCTGTTTTTCTGTTCATTGATGCTGCCAGACCTGCTGAGTTTCTCCAGCAAGCTCTGTCTTTGCACCTGATATGGTATTCCAGACATTTTTAACTCTGAATGAAACTAAAATTCCTCCTCATCTAAATCCATTGTAAATTTACAGTTACAGCCTCTTGTGTTATTATTCTGTTTTATTTCCAAGTTCAGGAGTTACTGAAACTAAGCCATCCAATATTTTGTGCAAGCCAATGAAATAAGTCCTCATCTATTGCCTATTTGGAGTATAGAATTTAGACTATTTTTTAACCCATGTCTCATAGCTCATTCCTTTTCCATTTATGTTGCTCCTCTTTGCATCTCTCAGGGCTTGCAAAACATTTGTTATAACTTGGTGACTTGTACCAATGTTCAACCTTTGTAAAAACATTATAATTTTAAGTCAATCCCAATTATCAGTGAAACAATGTCAATTAAGAAAATAAAAAACAATTGGCAAACAATAACCAAAAACACACACTAAATATAAATCTACAATGTAACAGACTTAAAATCTTAATTGGAATCTTTCAGTTCATTTTGAATTTACAGGGTGGAAATCTTAAAGTAGCTTTTATCTTTACTTTAGATAATACTGGAAATAATGACAGAAAAATGTCAGAGATAACAAGGTGCAGAGCTGGATGAACACAGCAGGCCAAGCAGCATCAGAGGAGCAGGAAGGCTGATGTTTCGGGCCTAGACCCTTCTTCAGAAAAGGCATCCTTAGAAGAGGCTTCGCAGTGGGGTTAAAATTGTTTCAGAGATAGTA